CCACCGTCTACATGGCCGAGCTTCGCCAACTTGCAATCGACTGCGAGTTTTAGGACGTGGAGGACATCATCCTCACACAATTCGTCTGCGGCGTCCGAGACCACAAGCTCCGCCGCAAACTGATCAGGACAGTCGACCTAAAACTAGAGAGAGCACTCCATGTGGCCACCGCATTTGAGAGGTCTCACTGGGACCGTCCGCCGTCTTCAGTCCACCTAGCTGCCTCGTCTGCTACCTCGGAAATCTCAGAAGACGCCGAGGTCCTGCAACTACGGCGTCCAGCCCATCGCAGCTCACGCACCCCTATGGTAACGGCTCCGCCAGCATGATCAACTGCTCAAGTGACCATCAAATCATACACCCAAGCAAAATGTGCCAGCTGCGGGGAAGACCACAAGCATCGGTCATGCCGGTTCTGCGATGCGATCTTCAGGACCTGTGGGAAAACCGGCCATCTAGCACGAGTCTGTCGGTCCCGAGGAGCACAACGGCAGACACTGGCACATCAACAAGAAGCAACAGACCTCCACACAATGATCGCCAACCAGGAGCATAAGGTACTGAATTTGCCCCGGGATGCCCCCAACAAAATATGTGTCACTGTCTGCATTGAGGGGTCCCCATGAGAGATGGAGCTGGACACTGGTTCCTCCTTCTCAATCATTTCGGCAGAGACTCTTAGGAGGCTCTGCCCCCATGGGGGGCCCCTCCTATAGAAACCAGGTGGCTTAACGTTAAGGGCCTTCCAGAAGAACCCGGTAGCCAGGGCTTTTTTTGTAGAAAAAGTCCAGCAGGAACTCATTAGCATAATAGGCCACACCCAGCAGCAGAAACTCTTTAGAATATTAGGCCACACCCCTGATTGCACCACTCATTAGCATATTAGGCCACATTCCCATGTTACCAGAAGCGTGGTCATCCAGCCACACCCATCTTTTGCTTCTTATTCTATTTACCTTGTTTGTTGTCAACACCCAGGGCTTTTTTTGTTGCAGGAACTCCTTTGCATGTTAGGCCACACACCCCCAATGTAGCCAATTCTAATGAGTTTCTACTGCTGGGTGTGGCCTGTTATGCTAATGAGTTCCTGTTGGGTGTGGCCAACTTGGGAGCCAGCTGGAACTCCGTTCCTGTGCGTTCCTGCCCAAAAATAGCCCTGCCGGTAGCCATCAAGGGGTGGGGCAAATTCAGAGTCCAGTACAAGGATTTTGACAGAGTACTGGATTTGTTGGTTGTGGAAGGCAGGCTCATCAGTCTCCTGGGATTTGCCTGGTTCAGGCCCCTGGGGTTTGGGGTTACTGGGGTAAACCAGGTACGGCTATAGGACTTTAACAGTGTTTGTGACAAATTCCCGGCCATATTTGACGGTACGCTTGGCTACTACATGGGTCCTTCAGTTTCCCTTGACCTCGACCCCGCGGTGCGGCCCATTCGCATGAAAGCCCGCCGTGCCCCATTCACACTATGGCCCAAAATAGACGTTGAACTAGACCGACTGGTGGAGCAGGGGGTGTTGGAGCCTGTGTCGAATGCCAGATGGGAGACTCCCATCGTCACGGCAATTAAACCTAACAGGGATGTCTGGATATGCACGGACTATAAGTGTACAATTAATAAAGTCCTTCAGGATCATGCATATCCGGTCTTCATTGTCAGCCATGTCCTCGCATTACTGGCTGGCACGAAAATCTTCGGCAAGTTAGATTTGGCACAGGCCTATCAGCAGTTGCCAGTAGACGATGCAACCGCGGAAGCTCAGACCATTGTAACTCATAGAGGGGCATTCAAGGTCAGGCGGCTACAGTTCAGGGTGAGCGTGGCTCCAGGGATCTTCCAGAATTTAATGGATTGTTTGCTTAAAGGGGATCTAAATTTTATTGTAAATTCTGCTTTAGACAGATCTTATGATAGTAGAAAACGGGAGGGGGGGGAAGGAAGACAATTTCTAAACCATCCCCATTAGCAGATTTATTGGAACAGTATAACCTTATAGATGTGTGGAGGCAGCTTCATAGAGGGGAAAGGGATTATACATATTTTTGCAGGTTCATAAGATTTACATACATATAGATTATATTTTAATATCCCTGGCTAAAGTGCAATCTTCAACCATTGGTACTTTACAATGGTCAGATCATAATTGGGTAGAATGCACATTTGAGTTAAAAAACAGATAACGTGGGTCTTGCAGAAATATTTTTTAGAAAATCAAGAATGTGCTACAGAGATTGAAACAGCCATTAAAACGTATTTTGAGGAAAACATAACAGATGATGTTAGTCCATCTATCATATGGGATGCTTTTAAGCCGGTCCTCCGAGGGCAATTGGTAGCCAAAGCTGCATATTTAAAAAAGGAAAGGGAGAAAAAAAGAACGCAATTAGTAACAGAAATCACTAATTTAGAAACACTACATAAACGTACAGGAAATAAAAAAATTTATAAGAAGTTAATATCCTTGAGAAGAGAACTAGAAATTGTGGATATTACACAAATACAGAGGAATTTATTATTTCTAAAGCAAAAAACTTGGCAAAATACGTCAAGAGCATTAAAATATTTAACAAGGAGAGTTAAACAAAGGAAAGAGACAAATAGAATCACGGCTATAAAAGACAAAAGGGGAAATTTAAATTTTACTACTGAAAGTATAACACAACAATTTTTGGAATATTACAAACATCTTTATGATGACAAAAACATAGATGTAGATCTAATTAAAAACTTTTTGGAACAAAATTATAATACAACTAAACTCTCCCTGGAGCATAAAGCAATAATGGAGGCTCTAATTACAGAAAAAGAAGTAGTACAGGCCATCAAAAAATTAAAAATGAATAAAGCACCAGGCCCAGATGGATTTACTTCTGATTTTTATAAAAAATATGTAAGTCTTTTGGTAAAGCCTTATACTACAGCCAGTAATTATGTTTTAGAACATGGCAGTCTCCCACCAACTTGGAAACAGGCAACGATAGTCATCTTACCAAAACCTGAAAAAGATCCCACAATAGTTACATCCTATAGGCCCATCTCCTTACTCAATGTGGATTTTAAACTATTTTCATCTATAATAGCAACGAGGTTAAATTCTTTTATTACTCAATATGTCCCTCAAGAACAGGTTGGATTCATGCCCACTAGAGATTTAACAGATGGTACATATAAAGCTTTGAGTTTATTGAATTTCTGTAAGGTCAAGCAACTGAAATCAGGTCTAATTGCGCTAGATATAGAAAAAGCATTTGATTCAGTTAATTTTAATTATTTAAAGCAAACTCTGTACTATTTAGGTTTTGGGGAATAATTAACACAGTTTACAATCAACCTTTGGCACAATTTAGGATTAATGGTAAAATATTGGAACAATTTAATTTAAAATGTGGAACACGGCAGGGATGCCCACTGTAGCCAATTTTATTCGCTTTGGTGATGGAACCCCTAGTGGCAAAAGTAAAAGCACATCCTGAAGTATTTGGAATAAAAATTCTTGGCAAAGAATACAAAATATCATTGTTTGCCAATTATATTTTGTTATTTCTCTCGCAACCAGCAACATCTATAGGCAATGTTCAACAGATATTAAATGAGTTTAGTCTCAGGATTGAAAATTAATGTAGCAAAGTCTTAGATTGATGTCTATGAAAATTTGTAATTGATGTGTATGTAAACTTGACTGGAAATTCTTAAAAATAAAAAAATGAGAGACCATTGTAACTCATAGAGGGGCATTCAAGGTCAGGTGGCTACAGTTCGGGGTGAGCGTGGCTCCGGGGATCTTCCAGAATTTAATGGACTGTTTGCTTAAAGGTATCCCCGGGGTCCAGCCGTTTTTTGACGATGTTCTAATAGTGGCCCCCAACACGGAGAACTTCATGTCACATCTGCGGGAGGTCCTAAAGCGCATCAACAACGCTGGCCTGAAGGTCAAGAGGGAGAGATGCCTGCTCGGGGTGCCAAGGGTAGAATTTCCGGGGTTCGCAGTTGACGCACACAGCATCCACCCCACAGCGGACAAAATTCAGGCCATCGTTCAAGCGCCCACCCCCTCCTCCAAGGCTGAACTGCAGGCGTTCCTAGGCCTTTTGAACTTTTATCATTCGTTCCTGCCCCACAAGGCTGTGGTGGCGGAACCCCTACATCGCCTCCTGGATAAGCACGTTCCTTGGGCCTGCCCCCCCCCCCGACACGCTACCGCGTTCCAGGTGGTGAAAGAATTGCTGACGTCCAACGCGGTTCTGGCACACTTTGACTAATCCCTCCTGGTGGTCCTAGCCTGTGACCCTTCTCCGTATGGGGTCGGGGTGGTCCTGAGGCACCGGCTGGCGGATGGGCAGCAGGTTCCCGTCGCGTATTTCTCTCGCACTCTATCCGCAGCCAAGCACAACTGTGCGCAAATAGCCAAGGAGGCCCTGGCAATCGTGGCTGGAATAAAGAAATTCCATGATTACTTGTACGGCTGGCCTTTTACTGTGGTCACAGACAATGTTCCCTCTAAGCTGTAGAGTCCTGTGAGCAAAAATTCTACTTTTTGAACTACCGGCATTAAAGTTGTGAGCAGGTGATTTGGCTACTGCATAAATTAGTTTGCTCTGGAGCCCTCCTTCCTGAGCTAAGACAAAAATGTGTGAGCCAGAGGCTAAAAAACTGTGAGCTAGCTCACACTAACTCAGCTTAGAGGGAACACTGGTCACAGACCACAAACCGCTCATGGGTCTGCTCGCCCCAGACCCCCAGACCCCCCAGGTGTTGTTTCCCTGGGTTCTCCGCTGGTCGATCTTCTTGGCCGGGTACCAATATGCACTTGTCCACCGCCCTGGTAAGGCGATGGGTGACACAGATGCACTCAGCCGCCTCCCGCCAGACCCCAGTACAGGTAGCCGAGGTGTCCTGGCACACCGCCCGTGATCACATCCTCGTTTGGGTCTTGGACTGGGTGGGGAGGGGGTGGCCTACCAGCCAGGTGAGCCTGGAATTCACTGCCTTCTTATCTCGGCAGGATGAACTGTCCTCCCACAAGGGAAGCGTGGGTGGAGCCGAGTAGTAATACCCCCCCGCTGCGCCAGCGAGTGCTCACAGCGCTTCATGACACGCATCCTGGAATTGTGTGCATGAAGGCACTAGCGAGAAGCTATGTATGGTGGCTGGGATTAGACGGGGAAATCGAGGCCCCGGTGAAGCGCTGCCAGATGTGCCAAGAGTCCCGGCCAGAACCACTCAGAGCTCCAGTGCGGCCTTGGGAATTGTCCCACAAACCTTGGGCCGGGCTTCACCTGGACTTCGCAGGCCCTTCCAGGGACAGATCTTTTTTATCCTAGTGGATGCCTACTCCAAGTGGCTGGAGGAGGTACCCGTGCCATCCACCTCATCGAGGTCTGCCATCAGGGCAATGTGGTGGATCTTCAGCACACACGGCATCCCAGACTCTCTGGTAACAGACAACGGGACAGCTTTTACTTCAGCAGAGTTCCAGGAGTTCATGGAGTACTACGGAATCCAGCACATCCGCTCCACGCCATTCCACCCTGCAACCAACGGCCAGGCAGAGAGGATGGTGCGTACCACCAAGGAGTCTCTACAGTGCATGGGCCCAGGGGAATGGGACTACAAGCTGGCTGCCTTCCTTTTCGGCCAGTGACTCACACTACACACCGCCACCAGCTGCAGTCCAGCTGAACTGCTGATGGGATGGCGTCCCACAACGAGACTCGACCGCCTACACCCGGATCGGGCACCCAAGCACAGCGCCACTCCAGAGACCCAGGCAGCGTCAAGAAGGTTCTTCCCAGAGGACCCAGTGTACGCAAGAAACTATGCCAGGGGTACTGCATGGATTCCGGCCAGGGTGGTTTGGGTGACCGGGCCGCAGTCCTACGAGGTAACAACAGAAGATGACCAGATCCTGAGGAGGCATATTGATCAGCTCAGGCGGCGGCTTCTGCTCCCAGATGAGGAAATACCAGACGACAGCGAGGACGAGGGCCCCAGCTCTGAAAAATGGAGGAACCCGAGACTCTGACACATGCACAACCGTGACCAAGCGCTTCTCCAGAGGGGGCTGGCGGCAACAACCTTGACCGAGGCAGCACCCCAGATAGCAGCATCAGGCCAATCCCAACCGCCGTCCCGGAAGCTACTCCCAAACTCCCCAGGCCAGCCCCAGGACAAGCAGCACAGACCCTAGAACTGCGCCATTCGACCCGGGGACGGCGGAGATCCACATACCTACAAGTCTTTGTATGCTAGGGGGACATCTGACCCATGGGGAGAGGGGTGTTGTGTTCTTACATAGACCGCACACGCGGTCGGGTCCTCACACAGCCATGCGAATGGCTTAAGTTTCGCTCTCTTAGACAATAGCCAGCATGGATCCTAGAACGCACCCAATTGAATGCAACTGCACTGTAAATAATCCTGTCACGGGTGTGCGTGTGTGTTTGGGTGTGGTTCACTATGGGAATATAAGCAGGCCTCTGGTCCTGCTTTCCTTGTCTTGTTTTCCCGAGCTTGTCAACACATCTGGACCCAGTACTTTACAAGGTTGAAGTGATTTATTTATTTTTAAAAAAATCTATCTCAGACCAAAGATTCTCAGGGCAGCTCACAGGAGAATAATAGTACCATGAATATAAACACCCAACCCCAAAACCAAACAGAGCCAATCTAGAAACAAAACTAAAAGCAGTTTACGAGAGCAAAGTGGCAAAATTTCACTCAGCCAGAGCAACCAGGAGTGAAAATAAACTCAGAAAAAAGATTTTGAGGAAGAATAAAAAGCTGATGATAACCACAAACCCCTTGGCCAGGAAAAGGACCGTTGTAATCTACTCTGACTGCTTGCAGTGGCTTCTTTATACTGAAGTGAGATGTCCATATCTGCTGAGACTGTTGCTGCAGAACCATGGCACACCTGAATCCGTCATGTCTTTGCTTGGGGCAGGTTTTTATTTCTGTATGCCCGTCCAGAGAAAGGGCACCGGAGGGAGCCCTGAACCTTAAAGGTAAACCTGCTGTAATTCACAGTGCTTATTGCTCAGATAGACTGCTCCTGCTCGAAAGGTTTTTTTTTAAGTGCTGGTTGCTGCAGTTCAGTCTCCCACTTCCTCCTCCTTCACCAGCAATATTCAAAGGCCAAATTACATACCTATGTTAAGCTGCTGGTACCAGCCAATAAGAAAGTTACAAGAGTGTTACTCTGCCAGGCTGCCTAAGACTCATTACCATTTGGAAATATTTTGCGTTCCACATCACAGGGACAACATGACATGATTACATATGACATGATTAGACATGACATGATTACACATGACATGATTACACATTATTTTAACAATTGTCAACATGTTGTATAAAATTATTGTTACAGGAGCTTTGTGGTTCATCTTGTACCCAGTCCCAGAGTAGCTACATCCTTACCCCAGATGTTTTTTCTGCCTAGAAGTTGGCAACCCTAGAACTTAAAAGAGGATTGCCCACTGCTTGGCTGGCCTGCAATTGGTTGAGGTTGGGCATCTGTGTGCCTTATTGGTGGAAGTCTGATGATTCTAAGGCTGAGAAGGGTCAGTTCAAATTGGTGAGAGTCCGCTAGTGGCAGTTGGGCAACAAGGGAATGAAAGAGAAGACCATGAAGGAAATCCTGCTAAGAAAACAAGTCCTGGAAAAACTTTGCTCACAGAGCAGTTGGGTTCTGTTGTGCTCCGTGAAGAGCTAACTTTTCTTTTTCATTTTTACTATCTGCTCTTTTGAACTTGCTGGTTCACAGAGCAGCCAAGGAGAGTGTGTTTGGTGGGTAAAATGTAATATATAATATTATATATTATATATAATTTTTGCATGTAATGGGAATAGAACAGTTACTGTATCTAAACAGGGCATATACAGGGACCGTTAGAGTTAGCATTGTTTCTTCCTTATATATTGATTTTCTTCTTAGTTGTTTTAAGCTGAAATGTGTTCAGTTTGTGGAACAAGAACGCTGTCCCCAGACTGTGTTTCCCAGCCCCGATTTGAGAAACACACGCACAGTCCTGTGAAGGAGAAAAAAACTAAGAAGTTAATTAATTAATTAGTTTATTAATAGGGAGAGCCCAGATACAAAAGGGTTGGGACCCTCAGATACCAACCAACTTCTCCAACATTACAATGGGTGACATAGCATTTTATAGTTCACATTACATCAGAGGAATAAAACAGAATTACTGGTTCCATCAAACTCTGTCAGACTTCGTCATCTATTTCTTATTGGGTTCAGACCTGTGGGCCGGGTCTTCCCAGGCAAAGTTTCTTCTTTCTAGCTGTGTCTTTGGCCTAGGCTATGGAATTTCAAAAGTATCTATATTAGCTGATATGGTTATAAGATGCTCATTGTCTTCCATTTAGCCAGGCTAACCGGCACATGTGCAGAAGTAGCTGGTCAGCCAAGGCCGCAAACCTCAGCAAAACAGCAAACTAGCATTTCATTTAAGTCTTCCAGTATGCATTTTCAGCAGTAGCCATAAATGAACCAAAGTTAACATCTGAATACATTCATGATTGATTTCTGTTCATGTAGTTAAAATCAGGAATGGCACTTAACATATCTATCATGGAAGTGTTAAGTGTACCTGCTAAGTGTAACCTGGTTAGTCAGTGGCAGAGTGCAAAATGCTTAACAGTGTTTAACAGTGTTTCATAAACTGTGCATACAACAAGTTATTTAATTCTTAGTACATGATTTATTTATTTATTTATTTATTATTTTTATTTATAGCCCTCCTTCCCCGCAAGCGGGCTCAGGGCGGCTCACAAATAGGGCACATGCCAATACATAAAACAGGTTAAAAGCAACATAAAAACAGACATTTACAATATTACACAGTGCTCTAGATGTTTCAAATCAGTCTTCAATAAAAAGATGGCATCTTGAAGATGGTACTCCCAGTTCAGTGGTGTCAGCTCCACACAACGCTGTCGTTCACTCCTCACGGGGCCAGTTGGTGATGGTGACATGACTGAGGTTTATAAGATTATGCATGGGATAGAGCAGGTAGAGAAAGCAGTACTTTTCTCCCTTTCTTACAATACAAGAATTCGTGGGCACTCCATGAAATTGCTGAGCAGTCAGGTCAGAACAGATAAAAGGAAGTCTTTCTTCACCCAAAGAGTGATTAACACAGGGAATTCACTGCCACAGGAGGTGGCGGTGGCTACAAGCATGGAAGGCTTCAAGAGGGAATTAGATAAACATCTGGAGCAGAAGTCCATCAGTAGCTATTAGCCACAAGGTATAGATAGGAACTCTCAGGCTGGGGCAAGTGATGCTCTGTATTCTTGGTGCTTGGGGGGGGGGGCAACAGTGGGAGGGCTTCTAGTGTCCTGGCCCTACTGCTGGACCTCCTGATGGTACCTGGTATTTTTGGCCACTGCGTGACAGATGTTGGACTAGATGGGCCATTGGCCTGATCCAACATTGGCTTCTCTTATGTTCTTATCTAATTATTTAATCAATTCTTGCATGTCACGTTCAGCTATATTAATTGCTGCCACAATATCTTAACATCGCCCACAGTGTACTATATTGCTATATAGTGCTATAGCGATTGCCAACTTTTTCAAAGCCCTCAAAAAGCCCTATGGACAGTGGCATAGCAAGGAAAACAAAAATGCCAGGAGAATGGCATCACGGGCTGACAGTCTAGAAATAATGCCAATGTGAGCTGGGCAAGAAAATCTTACAATTTCTTCCAGACTGTGCTGCATTCATTCCAAAAAGATCAGCATAAAGCAAGTTGGGGAAAGAGCCTACTGAGGACATGGAAAATCTGGAAACAGCATGATGTCATGTGGAATCTCCCAAAAGGTGCTCTGGTTTCAAGGCAAGGCAAGGCGGAGAGAAACCTCCATGTGGAAGTGGCCCCGGTTATAAACTCTAGTTATATAACTGGTATTTCATTTTTTTCCCTTTATACCCTACCTTTCTTCCCAGTGGGGACCCAAAGTGGCTTACATTGTTCTCCTCTCCTCCATTGTATCCCCACAAGAACCTTGTGAGGTAGGTTAGTCTGAGAGCCTGTGACTGACCCAAAGTTACCCCAACAAGCTTCCATGGCAGAGTGAGGATATCTACCAAGGTGGTGGTGGAAAGTGCCTTCAAGTCACAGTCAACTTAAGGCAACCCTTCATTGGGTTTTCAAGGCAAGAAATGAACAGAGAATGGCCCCCGCCACACGACAGGGAAAACACTGGCCAAAGTGTGGCTTTTAAAAGCCGCACCAAAAAAGAGACGCCGCGGTGGGATCCCACGATCCCCTGAGCCACGGCGCCGTTGCTCCCCGGCACAATCAGATGCCGGGGAGGAAGAGACGATTGGGAGGGGGAGGCTGCCGAACTGCGCATGCTCGAGCATGCGCAGTACGGCTGGGGGCCGGGGATGCGCCGGCGAAAAGACGCGCCGGCGATCCCACGGCTGGCAGTGATGCGGCCTTTCAGAAAGAACCACCTAGGTAGGTGGTTCTTTTTTGATGCGGGGTTTGGCCGGGAGGGGCGGATTGGGAACGGGCGCAGCACGATTCCCAGATGT